GACTAAGCGAAAAATTCAGTCAGCACACATATACACATACAGACAATGCTTTCAGACTTATTAAAATTTTTATTCTCTCTGACTTTATTCTCTTTTTATTTGGTAAAATCTTACATGACTTGGTGAAAAGAAATATCAAAATATGAGTATCAAAACCACTGAAAATCTTGCTTTGAGGGTATAATTTACTGTAGGGATACGTACACAGAGTATTGTATCACCTTGGGGCATGACAACAGCACAGTCCTGTTCATTGTCCTTAGCAGAATATGACTTCAGCTTTGACGTTTGTGGCCTCTGTTGGAGACTTGAGAATGGATTTCTGTGCTTTAAAAATCAGCTAGGTTTGTTCTTCTGACTGAGTTCACTAAGCTTGTGAACTTCAGGAATTCACAAATTAAAAAGAGTAGAGAAAATTTATTCTTTTTCCAGACCTCTTAAAATCAGGTTAAGTTTGTCCTAGTGAAATGATTCCCTGAACTTAATTTTGAAAATCAGGTATAACTTTAAGTCAGAAACTCACAGTGCAGTGATAAAGCTTATACTCTTTATCTCTAGATAAAGTGGCGATTTCTATTCCTCTAGCTAGTTATGTGAAAAGAAAGAGTCTGACACTCCAGCAGTGTGAAACCCACTCCAGGAAAGCCACGCTTGTATGAAGATTACAATGGAAATTATAAAGTGCGTAGCTCTTACATGAGCTCTTTCCAGGAGATGCATTTCACTTTCACCTTCACTTTTATGTCGGCAGCACTGGCTTCCCTAAGCCATAGTTTATTTCATAGTAATGTGATGTAAAACTATCCTACCCAGATAGTAGTGTCAATTTAGTTTCTGAAATTCAAATTAAAAAACGTGCAAGTAAACTGACATAGTTGCTATTATTATTATTCTCATTATTATAATTTATTGCACATGCCCTATTTTCAGCTGTTAGTCATATTCTTGGATGCTATTATAACATCAGTACATGCACATGTGCACAGACAGACTCCAGGCACACAAAAAACCAAACTCAGAGCCAAATACTGATTCTCTCACTCAGGGAAGTATTTCCAGGTGCTGCTCTCGAGTCTGTTAACTGCAGTGGGGTGGTACAAACAAAAGAAGTACCACTTGGTTCCTGCAGCCAGGAACTCTGAAACAGTTTGCTCAGAAAGTATGATTGCTGCGATTGCACCAGTAAATTAATCTGGAGAAACATGAATACCTTGTAGCAGTTAAATAGCAAATTATTATCATTTCAGCCAAGCAGAATTTGGAGTATTGTCATTGACTCCAGTCAGTTTTCTGTGATCTACTTGTAGTCTTACACTTAAATCTCAATAAACATTGAAGAAAAAGTAGAGGAAAGATCAGAATGAAATTCACAAAGTCAGACAGAGGGCATTCATAAACCTCGGGGGATTTGCTGGAACATGTTTTCACAAAATAATTCAACATCAGTATCTTCAGTAAATTTTGAGATCATGGAAATGGAGTATAACTGAAGCAGAAAGCATTTATTTCTTAGCCTACTTGCTTAATTATTTGGGACTGCAGAGATGCTGCATCTCTGTTCTTGTGTTTCTGACTATGTATTTCCCACTAATTCCTTTAGAGTCCATTAGATAGCTTCAACTAATTTTGAAAAGAAAATGTTTAGACGAGTTTAAAATCCATCAAATCAGAGAATCTATATATAAAACCCAGAGATTAAGTGGACTTATTTCCACTGTTCACTTCCCATTGTTTTTGTAAAGCTTGCCCTTAAAAATTATGGGACTATAACTCCCAATACAATTTTCCTGGCAAAAATTTTATTATCTCCATGGTCCTGATGGCTAAAAAAATTAGCAGTGATATTGTGTGAGTATTTTGTGCAGACATGACCATTCTATTTACCCCTTATGGATTCTTGACTCATACGTAGTGTGAGGAAGTGTGACCGTCCCCCAGGTTTGACAGCATGAGGCACCTTCCAGAATCCTTCCAGCCTTTACAGACACAACAGTAATAATATATGTCTCAAACTGACACCTTCACAAGTACCTCTAAAATACTGGCTAGAATTTATCAGAATTTAATCCTTTTGTTGTTCCATGGGCGATTTGAAAGTTTGAATGCTTCTTGCTGGCCATCCTTTGATGTAATTTCATGTAAAATTATCACTATGTAGATGAAAAACAGAAGTGAGAAACTTCATTCACTTTGTATCAGTATAAGGCAGTCTCTAAAAGAACTACCAAAGACAGAACATTTAAATTTTAAGCAAGAGAAGGTTTTTATTTTGCTGACACAGTTTAGCAATTTCAATTTTATTCAGTTACTTTTGTATTTCAAGTTAATAATACATAGGACTATTTTGTAAGTTAGGATGCATTTTGTGCAACACAGACATGATGATTACTTTGATATGTGTATGCACCATAAACTGTCCTATAAATTATAGGTTTGAGATGATAAAAATATATCTCATTTTACAAGGAAAGAAAATCAATTGAAAAATCACCTGCATTGATTTTATCATTGTTTTTCACTCTTTGTGCAGTTTTTAAATATTCATCACAGTGCAACCTGCTGTTTAGACCAAAGTAACTGCTGTTCAGTAGAAGCAGTGGGCACTTTTTGTTTCATAATTAAAAGAGCAGCACTGTGATTGGTGTGGTATTTATTATGAAATGATGACAAAGGAGTACCAGTGTTTTTAATAGTTTTAGCTTACCGGAGCTGTTGTTAATTTTGTCTGTAGAGTTGCAGGTGAAATAATGCACAGTGGATAAATAGTCTATATTGGTTTAACTGAACATAATATATAGTGTGTTCTGGAGTTGTTTGTCTCAATAGACTATAGTAATCAAAAGTAATGAACCTATTATGTGCAGGACCTTGGAGAGCATAGAATGGCAGTAAAAGTGTGGCACATAAAAGGTTTATTAAAGGAAATTAAAGTCCATCATTGCCACACCTGCTCCCCTATTATAAGTCTATGGCAGGTCAGTGCCTTCAATCACAACTCAGCATCAGAGAACAGAGCCATGTTTCCCATTACCATTGCAGTCACATTGCAAAAACTCATTCTCCAGCTTTTAAGGATAGTAACAAGTAAAGGCTGCCATCAGCCCCACTACATAAATAGAAGCTCCTCATGTTTTTCCCTGCTAATAATCAATATCGGATGTAAGTTTAAACAGAGAAAAGGTATAATTGTCTGGCTTTGATGTGCATTTTCATCCATTTATATTTTCATTTCAGACATCGCTAACCTGTGTTCTAGAATTTCACTTCTTCAAGTCCATGAATACCCTTTTTAAATATTTGTGTTCTCTCCTTCAAAATGGTATTTTGATTCCACTGTCTGCTTATAATATTAAAATGTTTATAAAAACAAATAAACTCCAGGAAATTAGAGAAATGCTTTTTATCCCCTAGAAAGGCTCTTTACTCTTTTTATTTCTCAGGTCAATCTTGTCATATTCTGCAATGTTCTTTCAGATAAGACCTTCAAAACATCTCAGTAATCTGAATCATATTGAGCTAAAAATAAAGCATACTCAGATCTTCAAACTCTATAAATGGAAAAAGTCACAAACAGGACTTCGTGCATCTTTCCTCAGTTCAACACAGTTTAGCTGATCCTCAGAAAGAAAAAGTGAAATAATTGACAGGATCTTCTGTTGACATCAGTATTCATCTTGTGACATTTTTCAGGGAGACATGCTTGGCAACTTCTGGTCTCCACATCTAGCTATCATCCAACACAGTTTCATAAATCAGACTCTGGTGTCTGCAAACTGCTCTGCAGAAGCCCATGGGAGTTGCTTTGTCTACTGTATATTTGATCATCACCATTTTGCAAACAGGAAAACTGAGATTCAAGTCAAAGACAGATAGCAAGGCTCCTTCATAAACTGAAGAAAAATTCCATAGTTCCCAACATTTTGCTTTGACAAAAATTACATAGTTCCCGATATTTTGCTTAGACAAAAAATTCCTGGTGATAGAATTTCTTATGTAAAGTTTGATAAAACTTTCTTATATAAAAAGTAAGAGCTACTTTTAGAAAGGAGTTTGCATTCCTGGATATGGTCAAAATTGTACTGTTGTACAACCTGCTATTTGTCACTGCAGTTCTCCACACCACAACATGAAATCTTAATCCCTTTGAATTTCAGGGGTTTGCAATAAAATCCATGGATTGAAAGCCTGCCCCTATAATTATGTGTCTGGGCCACATCCAAGACCAGAAGGTGAATATTTCCAGTTTGGGTTTAGATGTAGCCAAAAGTGTAGTGAGAACAGCTGATCTTGAAAGGATTCTCTTATTTCAGTTAGAAAACTTATGATATCAGCTGACTTCTGGGGGGATCTGGGATTTGATCTTTTGATTGTTTGGATTTCTTTTTTTATAATGTAAAATACAAATCTGGACAATACATTCTCCAAGAAAGCCCCCTATAAATCTATAATTCACTGTCTCTTCAAGCAGAACTTCTTAAAGAAGTAGTTGATTACACGTTGAAGAATTTCAAAGCTGTATATGTGTTATGCATTATCAAGCAAGCTTTCATGTTTTAAGGATGAAGTTGTCAGAAATGCAGGCCCCAACATAGCTGTAGACCTCAGTTACAATGAAAATTGTAACTACTGGTAGTCACAGCAGATTTCTGGGACCTTTTTTTTCAGGAAGTGGATGCTGAAAGCTGCACTCATGCTGCATTACTCTTTCTAACCTTATGCCTTCAGATAACACCTGTAGACCTCATCATTAAACCTTACAGAGTCACTCATAACTATCACTTTATTAAACAAATCTGCATCATTAAAGGTATCTCCTAGGTATTTACTAGATATTCACAGATGGCTTTTTATCTCGTTGACAAGATTAATAAGGCATGATTATTCTTTTTTTCCTATTACTGTCTAGCCTTTGGAAATGTGAAAAAAAAAAAAGGATTGGAGTGGGGTTTTTCTCTCAATGGCAAAAGGTATGAATTAAAGACCTTGTGTTAATATTACAGATGGATGCAGATGGGGAAAATAAAAAGCTGCGCACACGCTCCAAAGGAACCAAGGGTGAGTTAGCAAGCACGCTCCACGACCCTGTGCCCAGAACACCATGAAATATCATAGTTCCTGTGCACAGTCCTTAATGTGCACTGAGAGACTCTGTAGCTTCCTTACGGCTGCTTTTTTTAATCAAGGCAGGACACAGACTGCTGGCATTAAGAGGCGCAATGTTATTAGCTATGGTATAAAGAAAAGCCAAAAAACCTACTGATGTTATTGTATTTGAGTTATTTTTCAAAGAAAATAAAGGCCACATTTTTACTATGCAAAAAAATCCCTAACAACAACAACAAAAAACCCCAAAAAAACCAACAAAAAAATCTCCACAAAACCAAAAACCCCAAAATTATTTTCTACAGAGAGTAGAGTTGACAACATTAAATGAATGCTTTAAAAACTGTATATCAAAACTTTCTCTCATCCACCTGAATGTTTTTCTGTCTATTGCCATTAATTATCTATAAAATAGTTGTGTAAATGGTCCAGAAGTAAATTTTCTTTAATCAAAAGCTGCAGGTGTATGTGGCAGAAGACAATCTTGTGGATTTTTTTGAAGTATTGGTGCTCATGTTTCATTTGCAAAGTTATGACATAGTTGCATTTCCCAGATATTACTCTCTTTTTGTAAGGAACAGATGGAAATGCAGTACCAAGAGATAAAAAGGCCCTTAATGATCTCAACATCTGGAAAACATGATTGACTAGCAGTACAGCCCTTCCAGGAAAATAACTTTTTATTTTAATTCATAACACTTTTTGTGACTCTTGATAATAAGTGAAAATGGATATACTTAAAAATAAATGTCAAAGTTTTGCCTGCCCTGTGAACACTTTTGCTTATTACTATTTTCAGAGGCACAAAGCACCCATCCTTCACTCTAATTTAATGAGAATTGTTGATTCTAAAGATTTTGCAAAACAGACTACTAGTATTCGTTGTCACAACTCACTATTTTGAATTGTTAATATTGTGCCTTCAGGTTCAAGTTATGGTCAGAATGAAAGATTAGAGTGGTTTGGCATTAATTCTCTATTTTAAATGAACAAAGGGGCAAAAAGTGCTAGACATCACTCAGGGAGACAGAGGTAAAGCACTGAAGTACTGCAGACTGACTGCAGACAAGGGGATAAATGCAGACAAACCTTTCTAAAAAACATAATCATTGTCATATCAGAACTTTGATGCAACTCTCAGTGGTGATCACTGAAATTAATATAAAGGTCATGTTTATTTCAAAAGTACCAAACAGAGAACTTGTAAAGTCTCTGAATAGGGAAGTTACTCACACCTCAGAATTAGGGCATGTCTTCTCTGTTGGTCAAGACTGTGAGTTAAAAGAATTTGGCTGGCATAGAAATCTTCAGTTGTAATTAGTAGGGGTTTCATACTCTTTCACTCAAAATGCTAATAACACATTTTTATAGCTTATGGGCTTCTTCTTTTCTCCATGTTTTTAGACGTGTGCATATACTCTTATAACAATTAATATATCAAGAACCTTTTTCCCAGAAGTGGAAACGACAAAAGTTGCCTCTGCATTATGAGTAATCCTTAGAGACACCTGTTGGCCTTGTTAATATACTGTGTACTCCTGTGTGGGCAGGAATTTGTAGACACCAGACTTTGCAATTCCCAAACTGATTTTAAATTCTGAAAAATAAGAGATTTTGCATTCTATTTTCAGGAAAAACAAGGGTCTTCACTTTTAGTTTTATTTTTATTATTTTCCTTATTGTTCCACTGAACATCATATTCCAAGTTTCATGCATCCTAAAATAACTGTGACAATTACACATTCATTCAGCATTTGTCACTAGTAGCTACAATCCTATGGTTAGCATGAAATAACCACCTGTGTTTTGATAGCCACTCCTCTGTCATTACAGATAGGCAGGTGCAAGGCTGCAGAAAGCAAAAATCTGAAAGTGTAAACTAATTAATTCTTTCCTGCTTTTATTAACAGTTCAAGTGGACTCTATAGCTCAAGAGCTCAGGTAAGAATTTTGTTTATTTTTTCAGTTTTATTTTCTTATCTTATTGAAAAATTTATACCACTGCTACTTCTATAAAATAAAGAATGAAGCAAATGTATTTTGTAAAACTCTAAGATTGATCTGAAAAAGGATAATTTATATGGGTTCACTTTTTAGATATACAAAAAAATAAGGCAAAATGTTAGCAATAATTATGCAAGCATAATCAAAAGTAATGTGAAGTGGGCAGGACTCTGGTATGTTGTTTTATCTTCAGCCTGTGTCAGGGCATGCAACAAAATAATTTCTGGTGAATCCCCAGCTCTTTAGTCTTCTTTTTCCTGTAATACGTATTATAGTATTTCAATATCTGAACATTATAAGAGATATTAATATATTTTACTAGATGGTTTTATAAAAGAGATCTGTATACTCCTGTAAATTCTAAGTGCAATAATGGCTTATTCTTCCTTGAGTATTTGTTGAGGTTTCATAATTTATGGAAGTAGCAGGGAGTATTTCTCGAACTTGCACAAAGGATCTCTATCCACTTAAAACCATACACTACATAAATATATTTCAGACTGCAAATATTCTAGTAAAATTTCAACACAACTACTTTAATATACCTATGTATGCACCAAATCCTAATAAGAGATCCAAAAGCTTAGATTAAACTATGGAAAGACTGGCAGATTATTCTGTACCAAATCTTCAAGAAAGAAAATATTTAGAGGTACCTACAAATTCTTAGAGTTATTAATCAGAATTACAATTCACTACATCTTCAGTGTAATACTGAAAAAAAAAATTGCAGAAAGATCTTTAGAGTTTTTTGTAAATTAACTTATATTCCCTATACTTGCTTTTCATCACTTACTGAGCTGCTTGCTTCATCATACCAGGCATCCAAAATATGTGCTTGTGGGTTCATCCAACTAGGGAACAGAAACATCATTGTGTGATTTATTTGATCAACCAAAAAATGCCCAATCTCTTAAAATAGGACATGAAATATTTACAGGAAGTTATTTACAGTGAAAACATACAATATTTTAAGGTTTTGTTTTATAATAAAACTGAGGAAATTATAAGCTTCTTATAGCTACTCCATGAACAGAAGTGTAGGCTAACTTTTTGGATAAATTATTCATGGTGAGTCACTCATTCAGCTCTGCTGTGAATCTCATTTTTTGTATGGCTTCAGTTTCCTGAGATTTAGTGCTTCTCCTTTTTTCCTCTGTGCATTGCTAATTTATGCACCAGAAGGATGCATTAATCCGAAGAGGCAGCCATCCAAAAAAAGGGATGGTCCATGTGTTCCTAGGAGAAAAATGTTTGAAAAATAGAGGATGTGCAAGTTTCTGCAACATCAGGGAAGCTGTGATTTATGTATTATCGATTGCTATAGTTTTCCCAAGCAACTTTATTTTTCCCTGTGAAATATGTGTTGCCTTAGGAACTACTGTGAAGCAGATCACTTTGTCAGAGATGTGGACTACCTCCATAAGGAAACATACATTGGTTTAAAACAGTGAGCTAAACAGCACAAAAGAGCATTATCCAGCCCTTAACTTGGTTTTTATAATTTCTGCTGTACCAAATTCCATACTGGGTATCTCCACAGTCAAATGACTGGTACACAAGTCAGGTGATCAACTTCTGTGGATCTCCTTGTCCATGAAAAAGTAGAGGAAGAGAGGCAGGGACTGCTCTTTGGAAATGCAGCCATTGGACTGCATTCCTGTCAGTCATACCCATATTATTGTGGGAAAACTATTGAACATTCCTCAAGAATTAAAGACTGAAATAGTTTGTTTTGTTCCCCGGATACGGATATTGGAACCACTGTCTTTTCTGACCAAGGTTCTAAATGCTGTGTTGGCTGAGAAATTTAAATCCATGCTTAATTAATTTCCCCTTTTCCCCTGGCTTATTCTATCTGACAAAGCACTTTTGCACTCCTTATTGAGTTTCTGTTATGAAGTGCCTTGGGATACTTTTACATGAAAGACTCTACATAAGCTTACATGCTCATTTTGTATTATTATTAATTTCATAACATTGATTGGTTCTAGAGCATTTGTTATCCTTTCCTTATTCTGTAACTTGTGTTTCACAAAAGTAGAGAATAAAATAAATGAAAAGCAAAACAAAGAGTTTGAATGACTGAATAAATTCAATAAAGCATGAAAATTTTTCTCTTCTAAATTTCAGGCATTGAAATCTTGCTTAATAGAATTCAATGTCAAAAAATCTTTTGATTTCAAGAAAGGCAAGATTTCACTAAGAAAACTGGCTAATCTTATCATCCATCTTCTCCTGAAAAATACGACCACCTTTCTGCATAAAAAAAAGTTTATTTTTAGAAAAATATTATCTTAAGAGACAAGCTGGGTTTTAGATTTTTTTTTTTTTTTTTTTTTTTTTTTTTTTTTTTTTTTTTTTTTTTTTTTTTTTTTTTTTTTTTTTTTTTTTTTTTTTTTTTTTTGCTTAGTAAAATAGCTAAAAATTCTCTTGCACTGGCACAGACTTTTCAGGGAACAGACTTTTCTTTCAGGTATACACAACGACTTATGTGTCAAACTTTCACTTATTTCATATAACCATATGGCCTAAGGAATCCCAACTTTCAGTAAAATATAAATAATTTTCTTTATACATAAACACTATTAACATTTCTGTGCAATTAATTCAAATATATTAGTGTTATTTTAACAGTATCTACTGTAGGTACTGTAGTTTTGAAGCATAGTACACTAAACTTAATAAGCCTTTCAAAACAGAACTGTTACTTCTTGAAGTGTTGATCATTTATATGCTCACAAAAAATTTAATTTTTTATTTAGGAATGTAATGGTATTTTCATTGGTAGCTAAGCTACCTTAAGAAAAGATTAAGCTTTTTGTCACAAGCTAAACATAACAAGCAGTGTGTGGTAGAAGTGAATGTTGAAGCCAGGAGATCTCTGTTCCATACATTCAAGTTTGAATCTGACACATTTTGGGCATAGAAGCTCTGTTGTATCCATCTTCTGTGAGAAGCAGAATGAAGAGGTCTTCTCTTAGACAATTTTGTCATGGACCACTGAAAGGACCAGGGCCTTCAGCTGTGTTCAGGATTAGAATGGAAACCAAAGTAAAGTGAGGAATATTGGAGTGATGTATTCTCATTACTGTGTTTTATTTAACAGATGGGATACAGTACAATGAACCATCTGTAGGTTATGGAGTGGCATCTGGGTCAGACCAAGGAAGAGCAAATTGGATTGATCCAAGCACAGAATTGCAAAAGAATAGATCAGTTTGGCTAAATCCATATCTGAATAGAAGGGGTATCTTTTCTGAGTTAGATACAGGTGAAACCAAGTGGTTTGGGCTTCAGTCATTGATGATTAATGTAGAGTCCACGAGGTGTTTCAAATCATGGAGAACAGCATTGCTCTTTGGTGGGAGTAATTAACACTTCCCCTTACTTTCTGCATTGCTGCATCACTTCAAAAGTAAGGAAAATTACTTTGTTTTTTTATCTGGAAGTCTTGTTCCATGGTGTCTTGGTTTGAAAAGACAGGAGTCTGTGAAGGAAGGCAAAAGCCTCCTGTGAAATGAAAAAGGTAAACCCCCTCCCTCCGAATTACCACAATTTTAAAAAAAAGCTCTCAGGCAAAGATATGGGAATGGGAATAACAGTTCTTTACTAGGAGAAAAACTAAATAAAAATAATAATATTTTAAAAATGTAATTAGTACAAACAAAACTAGTGATGGAGTCAGAAACCTGACACCCTGAGGCATCAGGGTGTTGGTAGTAGTCCAGTTAAAATAGTGGCAACTCCTCCTGGAGTGGCAGATGAAATGCTGCTGAAGTGGTGGAGTTTTCTCTGAAGGTCTGGTAGTAGTTGGGCCTGGTCTTCCTCTGGAATTTAGCGGAGGAGAGAGCTGCTTCTCTGGGAATCCAGCGAAGTGGCTGCCAGTGTCTCAAAAAGTGCTGATTTTATGCAGGAAAGAATGCTTGGCTCCTCCCCTCTGGGTGGAGCATCTCACAATGGGAAGATGTAACTTTACGGGTCATGCAGTGAGTCATTCAATGGGCCATTTACAGAAGATATCTCCCCGGAGAGAGACATTGTTCCTGGAAGAGATAAGAAAACTGCCCAACCTCCAACAGATGGCAATAGAATACATGCTTATCTTACAAGCCAGGACACATGGGTTGTGAGAAATTTTAGATATTAAAAGAAGTTGAATTGTTCATTGTGAATGTACAGAGTTATGAGTATCTTGAATACTTTAACAGAGAGATGACTATCAGAACAGATCTATCTGGATGTCTCCTTGTTAGAAGTTGCAACTGGACAATTACCCCTTTGATTAGGAGGGTGAGAAACCAGCACAGCAACCCTGAAAGCAATGGAACTGAAGTAGCACAGAAAATCTGTGTTACTAAAATGTTCCTTAACTTTACCTGTAATGTTTGAAGAGGTACATTAATATACCGTTGTATACAAGTATATGACAACATGCTAAAAAGCACTAAACTAACTGAAGTAGTTATTCCTCATTTTACATTACTAAATATTTTCCTGGTTTCCTTTAGGAACTTTTAAATTACATGTATGCAATTATAACTGAGCTCTGTTTCCAACAGTATTAGAATGAAGGTAGAGAGTTTGGTAGATAGAAGGGAATTTGGCTAGTCAGGAAAACCTTATGGCATGAAAGAAAACGCCTGTTCATGCCTAGCTGCATTTAGAAAAGACTGATTGGCAACTGTTTTTCTGAACTTCATATAGTAGGCAGATTTGTAAGAAATATTTGGGGAAAAAAATGCAGTAGTATAGCAGATGACTGGAGGAGGTGAAGATGATACTTAGCTGATGGAAGAACTGGGCAAATGAAGAAAAATCACATAAAATAGCTCCAAGGTGTTTCTCAATAAGAACTGAGATTATGGTTGATTTGTGTAGCTATCACCTTCACAGTTATGTTATCCCACAGCACGGCTTAGAAATAAGACAGAGAC